ACTTTCAATTTTTTTTGCTCAGTTTCTGACCCTTTTTGATTCTCCCCCCTCCACTTTAAGCCTTGGGGACCCCTCCCCATGCCAACTTATGCCCCCGTCCCCCCGCACTCGTGTCTCTAGCTGTGAGCGAGGGTGCGCATGTCCATTGTGTATGCTGCAATCATCTCCCTTATGGTGTATTTTGTACTTCCTGGACTCAGGTTTGTGGGTGCCATATTCGTGCATTCTGGACAAAGCAACCAGTTACGTAAAATATTCTTGAGGGTTTTACTTTTTTTTTTTAGTAGCGTTAATGTAACTGAGTTCCTTATTTCTCATAGTAGTTTACCCGATTATTATTCACGTAGCGGTGTGAGTGTACTAAGTAACTGCCCCAAAGGACTTGCAATATATAGACTCCCTCGTGCACAATTGGACAGAATAGTAGTGCAGAGTGGGCTAGCTGGGTTTAATTGATTCATTATTAATCATATTTATTACTGTATTGCCTAAGGACCAACCACGAATGGGATCCTGTTATGCCAGGCACTGTAAATATAAAGTAGTTGACAGTCCCTGCCTTGAAGACTTTACAATCTAAATAGATGTGAAAGATGGAGGGAAGGAGAAAGGGGTATAACATACAAGTAAGTGTCTGGTTAACCCCAAAAAGGCTTATTGAAAAAGAAGAGAAGTATGTGAACGTTCACTGATAGTGATGCTCCCCTTGCCCCCACGAGTTTTCAAGGCCATGCTCCAAAGTCTGGGAAAGCTAGAGCTCTTCAAAGAAAAGGTTGCCAGAATTGTTTTAATACGAGCAAAACATTGCACTTTTCCATAGTCTTGTTTTCAGAAACTGCTAAAGCATTTTGTCTGAAATTTTCCAAAAAGCAGCCTGAGGTAGAAACCTAGCATGGACATTTTTTGCCCAAACAGTTAAAGTTTGGCAAAGATGTAAGCAACTGAAAACAAGATGTTATAATGGGATGTGTCAGGTATCCTTAATAATGGGCAGTGCTTACAACCCCACATATAACCTTTATATAATAAAAATGTATCCTATATTTTCTATATTATAGATCTAAAAGGATCATTTTTCCCCTTTCCATAATAGCCATTTTCCCCTTAATAGGTTGATTTTCTTTGTGTAGAACAAACCAAATTACAAAACTATGTTATAACATCCACGTTGTAACTGGGATCCTGATTTTGTAACTGCAGATGGGATCAAAGGGAGCTGCCAGGAGAGAAGTTTCAGCAGGGCAAAGGGCGCGAGGGCGTTGGTGGGAGGAATTGAATGCAGAGATATGGGCAATGGGAGAGCTATGGAGAGTTTTGTATGACTTGCTGAGCAATATATTTAAGACTAGAAGATTTTGCAATGAAAATGATTAATCCAGATTATTTAGTGTAGCTCTACTCTAAAACGTGGATCAGAAGATATAAACACATGAAGTTGAATTTAGGGACAACTACTGCTTTTTTCTTTTATTGGCTGTGCTGGCTCTGTGGAGCCAAGAGGAAGTGAATTTTGAGTCTTTTTGTTCCTCTTTATTATCAACAGTGTTGGTTAGTAAATTTCAGTTAGTTACACCAACCCCCTCCCAAGAATCTAGTCAAGTAACTTTTGAGCTTTATTTGGGTTCTCTTGATCTTATAGCTGTAAGTTCACCAATGGACCTCAATCCTGCAGTGGAATTTGCTAGACCAGGGCTCTGTTGACTTCAGTGGAACTCTGCAGGGCATATTTGTGCTAGTGGATCTAGTTGCTGGAACAGGTGACTGGGTCCCAATCTTGCCCTTTCAAGGCCAGAGAATTTTCTCTTTTGAGTGCATTGGGAATAGGAGCATGCTCAGAGTTTGCAGAGAGCTAGCTGAGACCCAGAGAAAAGTTATGAATAAAGACTGGCCCAGATTTTCAACAGTATGTATGCTGAAGTGCATGTGTGCACAGCAGTGTGTGTGTGTGTGTGTGTAAATTGGGGTTGCTTTTGCGTGGATTTGTGCACATTTGAAAATTTAGATCTTTGTTTTTTCACAAAATAATTGACAGTTCCAGATTTTATGCAGAACAACAAAATACACTTCCCATTATTTAGAAAACCTATCACTTAAGAGAAAGTATTGTCAAATACTTTTTTAAAATTCAGTAATACTTTGTGCTTATATACCAAATTTTGACCTCAGGCTGTAATATGTTTACAAAGATAAGCTAGTTTTCTTGCACTCATTTTAAAGCTAGTTTAAACCAAGGTACAGGGAGAGTATAAAGGCTATAATTTTTAAACTTGACATCAATAGGAGCTCACCAACTCTGAAAATCAGAACACTTATTTTTGGCTCCTATACCTCCCTGCAGCCCCTGGCATAGTATGTTAATGTCGTGATTATGAACTGAAACATCAGATCACGTTTAAGTTAGAACCCTGCTATTTTGTGTTTAGAATTCTGTAATTTATAACGCACTTAGCAAGCTGTGTAAGTGGATTATGCTATGCAGAGGATGTTTGAGATATTGTTGAGATTACACTTCAGACACTGCACTCTTACTCTATTATCAGACTGCAGAACTTATAAAAGTTATTGTTTGAAATGGTGTATTGAGTATTCTTGCAAAACAGAGAGGATCCATTTGTGTGGCCCAAGTGGTCTTTTTGGCCCTATCATCTATAAACATATTAAGTTATTCACCTGCACTGACTTTGTCATATAATGTTGTACTGCAGCTTAATAAGTTTCTGGTATACCTACATTAATACTTATAAGTATTTCTTATATATAAGAAATAGTCACAGGTTTTAGCACTAATTGTAATTATTTTTGCCCTTAAAGATAACTTAGAAGTCACTTAATTTATTGTTTTCACACTGGAATAAATGAACCCTTGTCGTCGTCCCCGGTTTCTAGGAAATTAGCAGGATGTACTCTCTTCATCACGGGTGCAAGCCGGGGCATTGGCAAAGCAATTGCTTTGAAGGCTGCAAAGGACGGTGCAAACATTGTGATAGCTGCTAAGACAGGCGAGCCTCATCGCACTCTCCCAGGAACGATCTACACTGCTGCAGAAGAGAGTAAGTTTTAAAGAGAGAGGACAGTCTTGTTAAGGTGTTTGACTGGGACTCTGGAGACCCAAGTTCATTTCCTGGCTCTGCCACAGACTGTGTGACCTTGGGCAAATCACTTAGTCTCTCTCAGCCCCAGTTGCCCATATGTAAACTAGGGATAATACTTGCTCTGTCTCACAGGGGTGTTGTCAAGGTAAATGTATTAATGTGTGTTAGGTGTAAAGAGACTATGGTGATGGTGATTGTGTATCTGTGTAAAGTGTGTGTGCATGTGTATACATGATAGATATGTTGATAGAGAGCTTACAGTGTTGGCACATACTATTCATTATTTTAAAGTTTCTTTTCAGTGTTTATTAAATGGTATTCAAAGAATAAAGTGTGATGTGATATTCCAATTTTTAAAAAAACTTCCTAGAATTTGATTGTTGTAATGAAACAATAGTTGGTTAGATATGACTTGAGTTTCTTTAATTCTACATTTTTTACAATTAAAAATATCCATTGAACCATTAATTTAACATGTACCTCACCTAACAAACACGTTAAAAGTATTTTATTTTAAAGAAAAAGCGCCACTACAATTTTTTCCTTACTTTAAGCCAAGCTACTATTTGTTGTCAAAATAACACGTGCAAATTTACAGCTTTAGAACAGTCAACCCAGGTGCATCCCTATGCCTACGCACATACATTTGTAGGATCTAGCCCTAAAACAGTATTTAGTTTGGTTATTCCTTTCAAGCATTCACAAAAGGAAGAGCATGAATTAAATTACTCCTGTACGTTTTTTAATAGTGGTATGCTGTAGTCTCCATAATTTATTTGGGGGAAGCAGTATGATAGAGCGAGCAGCAGCAATCTTTATTTAGGTTGCCTAGCATTTTTCATTATAAAAAAATTCTTCAGACCATTTTTAAGTGCTCTAGTACTTCTGTGGTTTGCAGCAGGTCTTCAACATTTGTCAGGGGAATAGTTCTGGTCAGGAGCCATGCAATTCCATGCAGGTTTGGTAGGCTTATGAGCCACCTCTCATCGGTTTTATTCACCGCTTCCTGCTCTTGACTTGTTACCAATCTTCCTCCTCCCCCACCCCCTAACTTTGCACATGCGGTGCCCCATCATGCCTCTCACAAAACACATCTGGACAGGACACAGACAAAATAGATTCTCCGTCCATTCCCCCCGCCCCCTCAAAATACCCTTTGGCCTAGGGTGCACAAGGCTGGGAACAGAGACCTCCGCTCCCTAGGGCTTACTCTGTTCTTTAAATAAATAAATAAATCAGCTTGCTAGAGAAACACTTCCCTCTCATTTTTCCTGCCCCAAGGTGTAGAATTCCTCCCTCTATTACCACAAATTATCCTGGCATGAAGCTCAGGATAAGCACTATTTACTCCTGGACTTGTGACTGGCCCCTTTCCAATCAGTTTAAGCAGTATGACGTTGGTTATTTTAAAACAAATATTTGATTTTTTTAAAGGTACATTTGGAGCACTATAAATTTATAGTGATTGAAGAACAGGCCATACTTTAACTTTTAGCTTTTTCCCAATAACTTGAAGTATTCCCCCTTTCTCTAAGGAAGTCTCGCTGAGGAATGCATGGTTGCAGATTCCCCTTTACCTTTCATCGTCAAACAGTAGAAGATGTTGCTATATAGGAAAGTTAGTGTTCTCTTAAGAATGAATGTGTCTGTGTGTACTGACCTCTAATGCCACTGTGTGGGCTTGTGATCCTTTGCAGCTCTTAAATTTTCTGGTTTGCCACAGTTATTAACTCTCATTCCTGTGAGGTGCTGAACAGCTTTGACTCCCATTGAAGCCAGTGGAAGTTGATGGTGCTCAGTATCTGTAAAGATTGCATTGTATGTTTTTGAAGTCTGTTTGATAATCATTACCAACTCTCAGAGAATATTTTATCCCATGTTGGTTGCTCAGTGTAAGAGCAAGTTCAAAATGAAAAAAAAAAAAAATATTTTTTTCCCCACCGTACAGTTGAAGCTGCTGGAGGAAAGGCTTTACCATGCATCGTTAATGTGAGGGAAGAACAGCAAATCGCTGATGCAGTGGAGAAAGCTGTACAGAAATTTGGAGGTAAAATGAGTGATCGTGGAGGGTGTTCTGTGTGGGTTAATGAAAAGCCTTCTAAATTTTCAGTCAAAATAGTCAAAAGGTTAGCGTAAAAAAATTGAATAAACTTGAATAGTACACTTTGTTTTTTCCCTGCTTTTTGTTTTAAATGGTGGAGTTTAAAATATTAATGCAAAATGAATTATTTTAAAATCAGGAATAGACATTTTGGTGAACAATGCGAGTGCTATCTCCTTGACTGGCACCTTGGAAACGCCTACAAAGAAAGTGGATCTTATGATGAGTGCTAACACAAGAGGAACCTACCTTGCGTAAGTATTGTATGGGGGAAACTAAATTGTTTAAATACATCAGTAGATTTAATTACATTTTCAACCTCCTTAACAATATCACTTCACGCAATAACTTTTGTAGTTATCTTATTACGCTAACTTTTTAATTTGAGGTGAAAGTTTAAGGTACAAGGTGTGTGTGCGTGTACACACACGTACATACATGAATGAATAATTGGGAGATTCTGAATGAATGGCTGAAGATTAACTCTTGCAACTCTGTTATGGGTTGAAAGACTAAAGGATGTGCCATGTGTCATTGGAAAGGTTTTCCCCTAGGTTTGCAGCAAGATCTAGGGCCCAGATCTACAAAGATATTTAGGCCCCTAATGTACTTTGAAAGCAATGGAAGTAAGGAGCATAAATACCTTTGTGGATCTGGTCCTTAATGTCTGATCTTGAATGCTGGTGACCGGTGACTTTGTGACACAAAACTATTCAGGCTCTCCATACAGGAAACAAACAGCTAAGTTAATGCAGTTCTGGCAAATGAACTTCAGATCGTAAGACCCAGGTTTTGCTAAAACTTTCCTGCTCTCTTGTTGTAAATGAAATTATAAATGTTAACTCACTTTGTATCTTTTTGTGATGGGTGTATCTTAATTGTAAATTGCCTTCTTACAAGTGTTCCTTTTCAGCCCTATGAAGGAAAAAAACGCCTGTCAGGTGATTTACAGTAAACAAATCAGAATCATTAAGAAGGAAATCCATTTTCAGTGAAAGAAAATGTAGTCTACAATTCCATCATAACAATATTGGTTTCATTACTTCATCAAAGATCACTGAGAGTTGACTCCACAATTGTATGGCTCTTTTTATATTTTGTTCATCTTTCCAAATTAGTAATACACTAAAATGAAATCTTATATTTTCTAGACACTTAGTGTATCTTTTTTTTTTAAATTGTTCAGAGTTAAAATGGAAATCTTAATTTTGAGGCTTTCATTCAATTAGTGCTTGTGATCAAGGAGCTCTTTGATCTTTTGAATTCTATTCTTAGAGCGACATCTGTAGTGCTACATTATAAAGATGAATTTGTTTTTAAAATCATATTGTCTGAGTAATGAACCTAACATAGTGAAAAGGAATTGCATATTTATTTGAAATTATTCTGATCTTTTAAAAATAGTATAAAAACTGTGGGGGTGGGGATGGAGAAGGGGGTTGCTATAAAAGTAGTTTAAAAATGATAAACAACAAAAACACTTTTCTGTTTCTTATACTATATGTTGTGTTAAAGAAGCTGTACTTAAAGGAGGTGGTTTTTGGTTTTGTTTTTTCCTAACATAGTCCTGGAACGTTTTACTTAACTATGGGTAAAGTGCCATTTTCATTAGGGAAAATCATCTTTTAGAATAACAGGCAGGAAAACATTTCAAGAAAATATTGAAAAGCACCCTATGGATGTCTGTTGCTACATTTCTGAATAAGTACTCTCTTCTCATTTTCAATATTACAGTATTATCTTTCTCAATAATGGCAACCACATTCCCTCGGTGGTGACATTAACTCTGATTAATATCTGTAAGGAGTGCTGATATTGCTATTATTTTTTACAGGGATAGCTATCTCTCCTTTGATTGCTACAGTGCATTACAAGGGGAAAATAGCTTTAGTTTTGTGTTGTTACACATTGAAAAATATGAAAGATAAATGACACCCAAAGAAAAAAAAAATATACCAGGTGTTGTCAGTTGGTGAGCGTGTATGCTCTCTCCGTAATGCTGTCCCAGCCATGCACAGATAGTTGGTTCAGCAGACCTCAATAGTACTATCCAGCAAGAAAGATCACAGGCATGGTTCAGTGACAAAGGCACTCAGCCAGGTTTATTGCCCTCAAGGCAAAGTACTGGTGCCCTGGCTCTGTGGTTACAGGTATACTAACACACAAGTGCCCAGTGGCAAGGAACAGCTCAATCAGCAGGAGGAATTGCTGCTGTCCTCTCAGCCTCACAAATGGTTAAGGTGATGTATCCCGACATTTTTAGACTGAGACGAACAACTTACATACCACCTTACATGTTTCATGACATTTGCTTGTTACCTCCCCTAGTATCTTGCCCCAGGCGTTTCTGCTGTCAACCCTCTTATCTGCTGTTAGGTCAGGATGTACCTGGGCTAATCTTTTGGAGGGTGTTCACACACATACCCAGTATCTGTTGCTTCTTAGGAGTGCCTGTGTCCTAACAACACTAGCAATACCTTTGCCGAGGTCATGTATCAGACAGTAAACTTGTAAGCATCAGCTTTAATACATGGCCTGACTTTGGTTCATGACATGGCCTAACTTTGATGACGATGGTTCAGGCCTCAGATCTTACACCAGGCCCACTGCTCCAGGCTCTCTCTGTCTCCTACACCAGGGAATGGTCTTTGTTACTACCACTGTAACTATCAGTTCAGAAGACCTAAGGCATAACCTATCCACGCACTTCATCCCCTTTTTTCTTCTTCCCTTGCTGCTTATGTAGCCATGTTCTATTAATAAATGTGTGAAAAGTCTATTCTTTAATGATTTGTGGTAAATTCCACATGCAGGATATTGCATTTATTAAGATTAGTAGCATGGTTGTGTGTGGTATTTAAATTTTTTGTTTTATACATATTCTTATCAACATGTTCTTGGTTCATACACTTGCAGAAAATTAAACATACATTAATTTGAGTTATACAGTGTCAAAAAAATTGCATTGAAAGGTACGCTCCATCTCAACCAAAACCATCCTTGCCCAACCCTCCCACTGAGAAATATAATGGAGTGCACAGCTGTGCCTTACAAAGTGCCCAGAAGGTGAATAGACTTGGGCTTGTTGGACCAAAAGAAGAAGCAGATTTCATAGTCATGGCTGTAGCCTGTGGAATTCAATGCAAATGTTGTTTCTCTTCAGATGAGAAGTAATTTAATGTCTGATAACAAAAATTAAACATTTTGTTTAAATATTTGAGTTCTCGTTGACTATGAAACAATTAGACTGGAAATTTGTTTAATCCTACTTACTATTTTAATACTTTATTGTGGCATAACTTAGAGATCTTAACCAGGTTCAGGCCCCATTGTGCTGTGCACTGTTCAGACTTACAGTAAATGACAGTCTACTCCCAAAGAGCTGACAGTCTGAAGCCGCACCCCTGCAATTGACTGCACATAACTGCATGTAGTCAGTTGTGGGATTGGGGTCTAAAAGCTTACATCAGTTTCTCGCTACTAACTATCGTAAATTACATCACTTTCCAGCAGATATCCATTTGCAGCACTAGGTTTAGAAATGGCAATTGTATTGACCAGCTTTTATAAAATACAGTTTGTGTCTTATTGTCACAGGTGCCGTGTACACTGTAAAGTCTTTGGACATTTGAACTGAATAAAATGGGATTTTCCCTATAGTATGTTTTTGTGAAAGGGAAAATACTTAAAGGATGACATGCATGGCTAATGTGGAAGAAAAACCTCTCTGCTTAATACATTGGAGAAATGGTTTAACAGTCTGAAAAAGTCTAGCTAAAAGTGTCACAATTAGAGCTGCTGAGCACTTCTGAAAATCTGCCTCCATTTGTGGGTTTTAAGTTGTTGTGGAAAATCTGGCCCAGTGTGAATGCATAAATATTAGGAAGGACTTTTCATTTAGATAAGATGACATTATTATATTGGTTCTCTGTTTAGAATAAGCAGAATATTGATATGAGGGCAGGTGCAAAGTAATGAGATTGGAGGAGATTATTTTGAGATCTTTTATTTTAAAAGGTGCTGTATGTCCACCGGCATCTTTAAAACATAGTGGCTTTGCCAAAATTATAAAATTTTTGTTTAAAAGAGATGCACCTGACAACTACTAACATGTCTAATTTTTGTTTCATTTTCAGGTCTAAAATATGCCTTCCTTACTTAAGAAAGAGTAACATTGCTCATATCCTTAACATTAGCCCACCAATTAACCTGAATCCCATATGGTTCAAAAATCATTGTGGTAGGTGGTGTTATATTTACTTATTTTTAAAATGTTTTTAAAGTGAATGAGTAATTATGAAAGGCACAAGAGTGACAGGCCTGGATACTGAAGCCCTTACTTTACCACAGCCTATACTGTACCTATTGTTGCTGGGGAAGACTAGATGACATGCCTCGTGACTGTTTCAGGGGTGAGAGGGTAATTCGGTCTCCATGGCCCTGTCAGTCCTTTCCCATATAAGGAATACTATTGACATAATTCCATGAAACACCATGGTAGACTACAATAGTTGTCTTCATCATTTCCTTACCTGAAAAATCAGACAGAATTACCCCCGATTTGTCATTCTTTTATAAGAATAATGAAATACAATTTTCTAGTCAGGTGAGCCAGAAGCAGGTCAGACCCTATGTGTACGGAACAGCTTGATGACAATTCTGCTGTCTCTGTGCTCTTCAAAGTGTTTTGTGCCAAAGGATGGTAAAAACTTAATTTTTCAAACCTACAGTGAAACTAGATCACCTTCTTTGTTAAAAGTTTTTGTAGTTGCCATTTTAGTGCAGTTGAAACAATAATAAATGGCAATCTAAAGAAGTTAATCTTGACAGAACAAGGAGCAATGGTCTCAGGTTGCAGTGGGGGAGGTCTAGGTTGGATATTAGGAAACACTATTTCACTGGGAGGGTGGTGAAGCACTGGAATGGGTTACCTCCGGAGGTGGCGGAATCTCCATCCTTAGAGGTTTTTAAGGCCTGGCTTGACAAAGCCCTGGCTGGGATGGTTTAGTTGGTGTTGGTCCTACTTTGAGCAGGGCGTTGGACTAGATGACCTCCTGAGGTCTCTTCCAACCCTAATCTTCTATGATTCTATGTTCAAAACATTTAGTTAATAAAATTTCAATGCAGACCCATTCTCCTCCCAGTTCTTACTTTATGCAGATTGTTCCACTCTAAGGAACTTCTTTTTAATAATAAATTACACTACATCAAGGAGTAAAGAATTAGATCAGTGAATCTTAAAATTTCATCACAGACATTATATTTTTACCTTACTAAATAAAATTCTTACTTTGTCTTAGCTTATACCATTTCTAAATATGGCATGTCCATGTGTGTGCTGGGGATGGCAGAAGAATTTAGAGGAGAAGTTGCAGTCAATGCTTTATGGCCTCAAACAGGTGACTTGTTTTAAGATACTATAATGTTCTCTTTGATGTTGTTAGTTGCATTTCTTCTCTGCTCAACCTTCGATCTTGCAGACTTCATGTATTTCACTTTGAATAGGCTTTTTTAAGATTGTTCAGAGCAGGTATTTGAAAATGAGCTCACTGTCCTGAGGGGTTTTTTGTTTTTCATTGCTCATATTCGGTGTTTTTCCTACAAAATACTGGTGTCTGGTAGATGAACCACTCTTCCATAGTTCTCAGTTGTTAGGCCACTGTGACTTTAATCAAATGGCTGGCCACATGCACTGCAAATACACCTCTACCCCGATATAACGCTGTCCTCGGGACCCAAAAAAAATCTTACTGCATTATAGGTGAAACCGCGTTATATCGAACTTGCTTTGATCTGCCGGAGTGTGCAGCCCCACCCCCCCGGAGCGCTGCTTTACCGTGTTCTATCCAAATTCATGTTATATCGGGTCGCGTTATATCGGGGTAGAGGTGTAGTGAGTGGCTGCTTGCTAGCAGCTTATTTATGCCTTACATTTGTCTGAAGCAACCTGTGGAGTGGTTGGCTCACTGACCCACTTTAAAAAAAAAATTTTTTTTAAAGGTTTTGTTTGCCCATTGGTTTTCTTAAGTTCATTTACTCTGTTCCCTTTTTAATGTGCACAGGACTCTAATGTAAACAGCATCACAAAAGGATTATCATTTGTTATGTTATCTTTTTAATATATGCTGTGCCTCTGAGGAGATATTTGACAAGAAGCAAGTTCTGATAGTGTTTGGAATGCCTGACTACTTTGTCCTGCCTCAGTGCAGAGGGCTGGGCTTGATGACTTCTTGAGATCCCTTCCAGTCCCACGTTTTTATAATTCTATGATATTTAAATACTTATCAGATCCCTCTCAGCCTTCTCTTCTCTAGAATAAATGTGCCCAGTTATTTCAATTTTTCCTTTTAGGTTTTATGTTTTCTAAACCTCTTATTTTTGTTGCTTTCCTCTGGACTCTCTCTAGTTTGTTCACATCTTTCTTATAGTATGGTGTCCAAAACTGGACACAGTACTACCACTCAGGCCCCACCGGTGCTGAGTAGGGTGGGACAATTATCTCCCATGTCCTACATGCAACACTCCTGTTACTACATCCCAGAATATTAGCCTTTTTTGCAGCTGCATCATGTTGTTCACTCATATTCAATTTGTGATCCACTATAATCCCCAGATCCTTTTCAGTGGTACTGTCACCTAGTCAGTTATTCCCCATTCTGTAGGTGTGCATTTGATTTCTCCCCCCCCCCCATTCTAAGTGAAGTGCTGTGCACATTGTTGAATTTCATCTTGTTGGTTTCAGACCAATTCTCCAATTTGTCAAGGTTATTTTGAATTCTAATCCTGCCCTCCAAAGTGCTCATAAAAAGTCGTTATAAAGAGGACTACGATCAATTGGTCTCCATGTCCACTGAAGTTGGGACAAGAAGTGATCGGCTTATTTTGCAGCAAGGGAGATTTAGGTTGGATGTTAGGAAAAGTAAGGTTAGTTAAGCACTGGAACACAGGGTTTGTGGAATCCCCATCACTGGAAGCTTTTAAGAACAGGTTAGAAAAACACCTGTCAGGGATGGTCTAGATCAGGGGCAGGCAAACTTTTTGGCCTGAGGGCCACATCGGGTTTCCAAAATTGTATGGAGGGTCGGTTAGCGGAGGCTGTGCCTCCCCAAACAGCCAGGTGTGGCGCAGCCCCATCCAACCCCTCCTGCTTCTCACCCCCGATGACCCCCCCGGGACTCCTGCCCCATCCAACCCCCCCCGTCCCCTGACAGACACCAGAACCCCGGCCCCTGACTGCCCCCCGCCACCCCATCCAACCCCTCCTCTCATTCCTAACTGCCCCCCAGGATCCCTGCCCCATCCAAGCACCCCTTCTCCCTGACTGCCCCCTGCTGCCCCATCCAACCCCCCCCTCTTCCTGATTGCCCTCCCAGGACCCCTGCCCCCATTCAACCCCCCTGTTCCCCACCGTCTGAGCTCCCCAACCCCTATCCACACCCCCGCGCCCTGACCACCACCCCAAACTCCCCTGCCCTCTATCCAACCCCCCCGCTCCCTGACCGCACTGCACCGGTGGCTGGCGGCGCTACAGCTGCGCCGCCCAGAGCACCAGGACAGGCAGCCGCGCCGCCCGGCTGGAGCCAGCCACGCCACCGCGCAGCACAGAGCACTGGGTCAGGCCGGGCTCTACAGCTGCGCTGCCCCAGGAGCTCGCAGCCCAGAGCATTGCACCGGCGGCGGAGCGAGCTGAGGCTGCGGGGGAGGGGGAACATCAAGGAAGGGGCCGGGGGCTAGCCTCCTGGGGCAGGAGCTCAGGGGCCGGGCAGGAGGGTCCCACAGGCCAGATGTGGCCTATAATTTGCCCACCTCTGGTCTAGATATACTTGGTCCTTCCTCAGCGTGGCGTGACGGACTAGATGAGATTGTACTGGCACAACAACCTTGGTTTTAAAAAAAGTCACATATCTAATTGAAATAATTATACTAGTATAAAAAAAATATGTAGACCAGTCCTTAGTCTCTCACTTTGAAAAAAAACAATAATTGACCCAAGTAAGATTTTGAGAATCAAAGGTATGGGCTACATTATGCTTTATTCTAGTCTTTTTTCCTTTGCAAAAGTTAGGTATTTTCCTTCTCTTCCACCTGCACAATAAGTTACACTATCCCTGTAAAAACAGCCAGATCTACACTTTAGTGATTTAAAGCAAATGAATGTAGGAAGGTCCAAATGTGTTTAACATTTGTTCTCATTAGACATAAATAGCAGCTCTAGACAGACTAAAGTAATGAACTTAACTAAAAATCTCTTATGACTCCTTGAGCAGCAGAGTAAATCTGTCAAGTTTATGTTTTAAAGATTTTGATTTTTTTGGATGTTTGTTAATTGTTTAAGTGTTCAGTTTGTAATGCTTTGACTGGGGGTAACCAGATTCAAAGTTGCAGGGAACAGCTTGGAAAAATAGAACATAACTCTTCTCAGTATTTTATCTTCTAAGGCTTACCCTCCCTGCAGGTAGGCCAATATGGCTTAAATGTCTTTTTAATTTAGGATGTATTATAAGTGTGACGGTGCGAGACTCATGGCCACGGCACCTCCTGCTGGTCATCTCAGGGAATTAGCTCTCCAGCCTCCAGAGTGCCCTCTGCAGGCCGGTGTCCCGCTGACACTTGGCCCCCCCCGTCTCTCCCGGGACTCAGGTGCCCCATTATCTGGGGTGCTGCCCCCTGGCAGTAACCCCTTTCTCTCAGGGTCTCCCCTCCCCAGGGAACCCCCACCCCCTATCCCCACCTCACCTCAGTCATAGGCTACTGCCAGTCACCAACTCGCCCCCGCGACCTGGGGCAGACTGCAGTGTCAGCCACTCATCATAGGCAAGGTTGGGTCTGGACCTGCTGCCTCTCTCTGCAACCCAGTGCCTCTATGGGGCCTTGGACAAGGCCCTGCAGCCTGGGGAGTTGCCAGCCTGGAGCTCCCCACCCCCTCTGGCCTTTCCTCAGCCCTGCCTCACTCTAGGCACCCTGAGCTTCCCAGCAGCTAGGCCCTTCTCTCTCCGAAGGCAGAGAGAGACTGACTGCTCCCAGGCCACTGCCCTCTTATAAGGGCCAGCTGCGGCCCAATTGGGGCGTGTCCCAGCTGTGGCTACTTCCCCAATCAGCCCAGGTTTCCCCTACCCTAGCCCTCGCCAAGGGCTGTTTTAAGCCCTTCAGGGCAGGAGCGGGTGACCACCCCGCTACATAAGGTATAGCCACTTACAGATGTGATTTGAAAAAAGGAAGAGTGCTATACAGGATCATAGGGACAGCTTTCATATGCTGCTTATTTATACTCATTTGAGTATGAAGAGTACATGTATGCTTAGAATTCTACCATATTGGGCACATAAACTGAGTAATAAGGTTTGCACCTTTGCACCACTAATACATTTCAAAATTGTATTTTAATTGTACTGTTAAATGATTCAACTTATGTGCTTCAAAAGAAAGTGTGAAATAGTTCCCGCAAAACAAGGCACTTGTTGCTGTTGATTAAAATATCCAAAAAAAGAAATCAGATGTTTCTATCAATTACATCTTTGTGAATCTGTGTCTGAGAAGTAGCTGGAATTCTCTCCCTTCCTTTCCTTCCCTCCTTTGCTCCAAAAGCTTTATGGGCATTTTGATCTACTGCTATTAACATAAGTTAAACTATCAAACAAAGTTAAAAAACCGAATTAAATTCTGTATGTGAATTTAGTAACTTACAACAGGTGATGAATTGAAACTCTCCAAGACTGAAGTCCTTTATTTGAACAAAAGAACAGGTAGAACAGATGGCAAAAATGAAGGTTCTGCATGCTGCCTGCCAATATGCTTCAGCTCTGACCTGGGGAGTTCACCTCTAGCATTTGTCTGTACTAGGAGACCTGGTTATACACAGTTCATAATAGCTAAGTTAGCTGACATGGTGCTAACCACAACTTTCTGACGAGTATAGAAAAGGGCAAGTTAGGGTGAGCCACTTGTAGTTAAAACCCTCTGGGATCAGACATGATACTGACCACATCTGTGATCAGTTTCGACAAGAACATGAATTGTAGTCCACATCATGTCGGCTGACTTGTTAAGAATCATGTTCAACCAGGATAAAATTTCCTAATGTAGACAAGGTTTGGCGCTCAGTTCTTGATCTCCCTGCTCACACTATTGTTGCACTGCTATGGATTTTCCTGTGTGTGTCTGGGGTGTATACCACACATGTAGAAACAATGAATATCCTCAAACTATAGGGTCTGGAGTTCTTCTTTTGAGGCAGTGCAGCTTCTCCACCCCCACTTCCCCATTGAGATGCGTCTGCGCACTGCACCAATCCAGGAACTCTCTGGAAAGCTCTGATTCTTGGGTTTGGTTCAGATTGTGTCTCAAGTTGTAAAACATTTGAGGTGAGATTGTATAAGGAGACTGAGGATACAGCAACACAACCTGTGACCGCAAGCCTTTACATAATTGATTTTAATCTTGTTTTGCATTTGTACTTTTTAGTTCTTTTCCTAAAGAAAGGTTGATGCTCATTGGTTGGTACCATTAAAACATGTTGATTTGCAACTAAATGTACCATTTACACAAAATTTGGTGTTACTTCTTGCCAACCAGGAGCATACATTGTATTTATACATATTTATTTAAGCAATTATATAGTTTAACATCATTTATTCAGATTCCTAACTTTTCCATTTTTATTATGTTAGAAAATGGTGATTGACACATTTCTTATTTACTAGAGGATTAATCTTTTTACTCATGGTTTTGTGTGAAGCTCTACTTGGATGGAAAGTGAAATTCAATTAAAAATGCATCATGTAAGGTTTTTTTTTTTTTATTAGATTAAATAAAACTACCTTAAATCTCCTCGATACATAAGAGAAAAAAGTAGTTTTAATCAATTATGTCTTGCATTTTAAAGTGATTTTTTTAAAAAAGTATTATAAAGGTGGGTGGAGGGATGCACTAGTTTACCTCATGAGGTCCCTTCCAGCTCTACATTTCTGTGATTATTTGTAGTTAGCAAAGTAAACTGATTTTATAATTACCATAGCCATCAGGATTTTAGAACTAGTGGATCTCATCCACTCACACCAGTTTTTATTCATACATTGGAAGAGGAAAAAAGGCTTGCCTGCTTTTTCAACTCCAAGTTGGAGTCTTACATTTAAACGAACTAGTCAGTGAATTAAACTAGTTGAGTAAACTGAAATGAAGATATTCTCTCTGCACGTCAACAAACTCTGGGTCCAGATGCTTAGTCAGTAACTTCTACCAGCTCAGTAGTTTGATTTTTGTTAAAAAAAACTTTTTCAGAAAATGTGTACTGCTTGAATATTTTTCAATTTAAATTATTTTTATATAATAAGTAATATAGTAAGTTTAGGGCTTAACATAGGTTGCCAGAATTTCAAATTTAATTTTAAATATTTTTATTTTTAAAAAGAAAAATGTATTTATATCAAACCAGTTTTTTGACCATTCATCACTTTGTTTTTTTAAATCCACTCTGGATGGAACCTTCACTCCCTCTGAGTTCCAGTTCTGTTGTAAGAGATCTAAGTGTGGTGCATTCAGCAGGGAAATTGTCCAGTTCCAAAAGAGGAACTTTTAATTCTTGGAGTACTGAGGGAGAAGTCTTCATCCACCATTCTAGGGCCTGTGTTGCCTTCCCTGCTGCTGAATGAAGGATCAACTTCCTCCCTTATTCTGGCCTCAGCCCCTCTTGGCTCTGTAGGAGATTCAAGACAGAGATTATCCACTCTCGCCTGTCCTAGACTCTAACCTTCATTTAAATTGAGGAGAAGCCCATTTCCAAATACTTCATCACTGAGGATTGTGCCAAGGGTTTCCACAGTCTGCCTTGCTGCTATCTGGAATCGAGCCTGAGACTCGCTGTTTTTGAGGCCCTTGTTTCCCTACACCTCATACTAGGCGTTCCTTGGTTCTACTTTCAGTACTTCAGTACAAGCTCTCACCATTGGGGTTTCAAGCCCCACTTTGGCCTTCATGGGCTAACTTCAGTTTATCCTTATGGAAGCTCTCCACCATCTCCCACCATGGAGTCAGCAATCTAAGAGGTGCGGTGGGAGAGGAAATTGTTCTTTTGTCTCCCCACACCATACTCCAACTCCGATGAAATCGGCCTCTAAACCGATTCCAAAAGGGTGGTACAACTAACAGCACCTGTGCAATCACACACAACAGGAGCTCCCAGTTATGGCTATTATTATTAAAGGACTTCTTAGATTGGGCTAAGTAAACATGTTCAAACTTGATATTTTGTGTGTGGAAAGTTACTACTTTTAATTATATTTGAATATATATCACCGTATCTTTTTTTGTAAAAGCACTTGTATCTTACAAACTAAGTATTTAAAAATACCATTGGACATACTAGAAGCTCTCTCCATTTTGAGTGCGGCTCATCACAGGAGCCTTCAAAACCTGATGCACTGAAGAGCCAGTCTTCAAGCAACAACAACATTATAAATAAAAAATTTATTCGAATAAGTGCCCTCTGTGAGAGTCTGCACAGTAATTTATAAGGTAATTAAAAACTTCCTGTAAAATCAGATATTCTATATGCAGACCAAGCTTTATAGTAGCGAATATCTGTCTTCCCTAATTCACTTTAAGAGCATTAGAAATATAAGGCAAGGCTTTTAAAGTATCTGTAATTCAATATCTGCCTCCATGACCACAGTATCCTAAATTAAGAAAGAGGAATAATAGCTTAAAATCTTTTGAATGTACAAAAGGAGTCTCAAAATGTTTATCTTCAAAATACATGAAAAACAAAGATAACACATTTCACTCCCATTGAGATTCACTCCCAAAGTTTCTGGAGGAAAAGATACAGGGCCTTGAGCAGCAGATGGCGTCATTGTAAGGAGTCACAAAGCAAAATCACAAGAGGAACAAAAGAAGGAACTGGGAAATAGAAGTTAAAATTGTAATGGGGCAGTTCTGGAGGAGCAAGAAGTCTGAAATAAATATATGGTAACTAGGAAGAGTAGTAAGAAGAGCAAAGTGCAAACCTCTGTGAAGCATTCCCACTTACAATATTCTTCCCTTGAATAAAAAGCAGAAGACTAGCAGGAACAGACCCGCTAGAATAGATCAATAACCTAACCAAAAACTCGGTAGATCTGCATTTTATTCCTGGTTCTGCCACAGCCTTTCTGTGAGACCTTGGGCAAGCAATTGAGTCAACTCTCTGACTCAGTTCTCCATCTTTAAAATGAAGGTGCTACTTACCAATATCATAGAAGTTGTTGTGAAGCTAAATTTAGTAATGTTTGTGAGGTGCTCAAATACTGTAGTAGTGATCATCGTAGAAAAGACTATCAATAAATAGTGAGCTGTATGAGAATATGTTACAGTGTTCCTAGGGAAGAGATAGAAGTCTCATTGTTTAGGACATTTAAAACTAGGCTGGACAAAAACATTAGAAAAAAATACTGTACTAGAACAATCTTATATTGGTAAAGAGAGGGACTTGAAGGTCTCTTTTCCATCTCATTCTTTTAGTAATAACTTAGTGAGTTTTTTCAGTATGCTACAGTTCTGCTCTTTGCATGAAAATAAAACGATGTACTTTAAGTGTGTGTGTGCAGTAGGAGAAAGGAGAAGAACTTTAAAACATCAGTGCTGACCACCAAATTTTCTTTTCCCCCCCCTGAACTTTTTAGCTATACATACATCTGCTATGGATATGCTGGGAGGAGCTGGTGTGGAACAGCAATGCAGAAAAACTGATATCCTTGCAGATGCTGCATATTGCATTTTAACAAAACCAAAAAGTTTCACAGGAAACTTTGTTATTGATGAAAGTCTGCTGAGAGAAGAAGGAATTAAGAATTTTGATGTATATGCAGTTGCACCAGGTAAGAAAGGACATAATGTTAAGTAAGTTTATAATCTGTTCTTCTGCTAACGACCTGTGGATGTTCAGTCCCATGGTACCCTTTTGCATTCCCAGAAACAGTTGGCCCAATCTTCCAGAGCCTCCACCCGTGAAACTTCCACTAACTTAATATCAGTTAATGAAAGGAAAATGCTTCCATGTCACTGACTTATGCAACCTGTTATTCCTCAGCCTGTGATTTCTCTCCGTGCCCCCTTCCTCAGGCCCCTTCTGCTTTTTCTCTTCAATGAAAGATTTTTCTATTACGACTCCACAAGACTTCTAGTTCTGTTTTACACCCATTGGAGAACAGACCAAAATCTAAGTAAAATCTGTCTCTAAAACAAAATATTAGGTACCTGGCTTTTCCTTGCTACTGACTTTTGCTTTCCAGAAGCTGTACAATACCTATTTAGAAGCCTAGACTTTGTTTAATACTGATACAAAAATAGATTATTATTTTTGCTGTTTATCTTCACTTTACTCACAATTTTTATTTATTTTATTTTAGGTCATCCATTGCTACCAGACTTCTTTCTAGATGTAGATCCTGATACTGTAGCTATGAAAATGGAAGCACATGGTAAGAAATTAAGTACTTACATCAAATTCATTCACTAAACCTTATTTCCAATGATGAAGCTGAAACATAAAGGTTGTTAAATATATTTCCTTCCAAGAACTTGGTCTCATGTAAGATACTTGGGGGGAAAAATGATTTCTCTGTGTGTGCGTGCGTCCGTCCTTGACAGGACCTTCACTGTTTCTGATTCAGAGAATTTTGCCTTACTTTAAAAATTAAAAGCGGGAAGCACTCTTCATAGGTCTGAGTTTTTGGGGTGAATCAGGGACATCAATGCTTCCTGGAAAAAGAAATAAACAGTCAAAAGCATACTTCTCAGAAATCTTTTGTGATCTGCCTCACCTAATTGTATACCCTTCAATATAATAATTATAGCTAACTTCCACATTCACACAGATGTAAACGTCACCCTTGTTGGAACTGCAACCCTCTTTTTGGGAAATCTTGTACTCTCTTCAAAAACTGACATTTTCCTAGTTAACCAAAATAAAATCACCAAAATGGACCTACAGTTTCTGCAGCAATGTCAAGAAAGGGGCAGGGGCACAGTGCAGGAGGAAGAAAAGGTGAGAGAGATGACCTTCCTTTCCCTCAGAAATACCATTTGGGTTTGGGGAAGGTGCACTGGACTAGGCGCTCCGGAGATGATGAGTTCAAGTCTGACCTCGCTCCTGCGTGTCTCAATTCTATGGGTTTCACAGCCCTTTTAATTGAGTAAGACCTGAAGTATCATTTCCCTGCTCCTCATTTTACAGATGAGATGACTGAGTAGCTGAGAAGTTGCTTAAAAAGATCACCTCTGGCAGAGCTGGGAATAGAACCCAGCTCTCTATTCTAGCAGAACCAAGTCTCATCCACTTAAGTCACATTGCCTCTCAGAAACATTAGGCTAAATATATGTGCTTGTTTATACTGTCTGTAAAATGGGGTTTCTCCTATGTACCTACCTCTGTAAAGCAACGCAAAACATGCAGATGACTACTAGAGTCTATAAAGTATGATTACATGCTGTTCTGCAGGGTGGTCTTACGGTTAAGGCACTGGAGTGGGATCCAGGATAATTGTGTGGTTTGTTTTTTTGTTTTCCTTTCCCCCAGCTCTGCCACAGACATCTTAGATGATGATAGTCATTTAGCCACAGTTTTCAGAGGCAATATTATTTGTTAGTCTTTAGTTGGTTTTGTAACTTGAGTAATCTGAAAATGATTAAAATGTTGTATATGTGCTTTTAAAAAAAGCAAACTTTACATAAGAAAACAATGAGCAAGAACAAATCACTTCATAGAATATTCAGAACTATTTTATCACTCAGCTAACTTAATATAGAATTAATTTTCTAAAATATTTTAAAAAAACACTATGCAACCTAATACTCAGTGTAAATTACAAATAAAATCCACCTAGTTAAACACTTCTGTTGTGCTTAATGTATACGTATCTACTAATCAAAACTCTGACCATCAGTATGGTAGGAGGATGGATCAATTTACATCTTACAAGCCTTCTAGATAATTAACAGCTAAAACAGAACTGTGCATACACATACTTTATGCAAAATATGTTATTGTTTTGCCTGTGTTGCAATAATTGACCTTATTCGATACATACAGCAAGTTTGCAGATGACACTAAACTGGGAGGAGTGGTAGATATGCTGGAGGGTAGGGATAGTATACAGAGGGACCTTGACAAATTAGAGGATTGGGCCAAAAGAAATCTGATGAGGTTCAACAAGGACAAGTGCAGAGTCTTGCACTTAGGATGGAAGAATCCCATGCACTACCACAGAGTAGGGACCGAGTGGCTATGCATCAGTTCTGCAGAAGAGGACCTAGGGGTTACAGTGGACGAGAAGCTGCATATGAGTCAACAGTTTGGCCTTGTTTCCAAGAAAGCTAACGGCATTTTGGGCTGTATAAGTAGGAGCATTGCCAGCAGATCGAGGGACGTGATCATTCCCCTCTATTCGGCATTGGTGAGGCCTCATCTGGAGTACTGTGTCCAGTTTTGGGCCCCACATTACAAAAAGGATGTGGAAAAGTTGGAAAGAGTCCAGCGGAGGGCAACAAAAATGATTAGGGGGCTGGAGCACACGACTTATGAGGAGAGGCTGAGGGAACTGGGATTATTTAGTCTGCAGAAGAGAAGAATGAGGGGGGATTTGATAGCTGCTTTCAACTACCTGAAAGCGGGTTCCAAAGAGGATGGATCTAGACTGTTCTCAGTGGTACCAGATGATAGAACAAGGAGTAATGGTCTCAAGTTGGAGTGGGGGAGGTTTAGGTTGGATATAAGGAAAAACTTTTTCATTAGGAGGGTGGTGAAGCACTGGAATGGGTTACCTAGGGAAATGGTGGAATTTCCTTCCTTAGAGGTTTTTAAGGTCAGGCTTGACAAAGCCCTGGCTGGGATGATTTAGTGGGGGTTTGGTCCTGCTTTGAGCAGGGGGTTGGACTAGATGACCTTCTGAGGTCCCTTCCAACCCTGATATTCTATGGTTCTATGATACATAACCATTTAAAAGAAAGCATAGAGAATAATTTTAGTACTGTATAATGTTACACTCTTTACGTAGAGTTTGTTGTAAATAAATTGTGTAAAGGTCAGAGTTAAGATTTAATTCAATTTGTTACTGGGGGGGTTTTCTATGTGCATGTATGGGAGGCGAAATATGAACCATAGAATCATAGAAATGTAGGGCTGGCAGAGTCCTTGAGAGGTCATCTAGGCCAGTGATTCTCAACCTTTTTGGGCTCATTTGTAAATGTTTATGGTCCGTTGCAACCCAGCAAATAGTCTGGGGGTGGAGACCCTGGGGTGGTTTCATTTGGGTCCTGCCCTCCTCCCCCACCGAGGGGAGGGTTGGGTCCTGCCTGGCACTTACCCTACAGTGGCAGCTCCTGCAGCTCCTGTGCTGTGGGGCTGGCTGGGCTTGGCTCTGTGCTCCAGGCGTTGCAGCCTCCAATGTTGCAGTGCCGCTCAGGTTTGTCCCTGTCCTTGGATTGGACCAAATTTGTGTGAGTGGAGTTGTGACCTGGCTCATAGGGTTGCAGTGCCACTCTCTCAAATTTGGCCTACCCAGACTTCCGTCGTTATGATGGCTGGGCAAAACCTGAGTGGCGCTGGGACCCCAGAGCAGGGTTTCTCAGGACAAACTTTTTGGTGGCCTCAGACACTTTTTCCTAAAATACTTAATTAGCTTTAAGAAAAACAAATAAATATGCACATATACATGTCCAAATCATTGTAATTTATTGATTGCTAGCTAGTAAGTCTGTTGTGAAAAGTGATACTAACATACAAATATCACTTTTCACAGCAGACTTACTCAGCCCTGCCAAGCCTGGGGACAAATTAAGCCCTGGATGAGGGATTAGGGGAGGCAGGTGGGGCTAGAGCCTGAAGCCCCGCCACTGGAGCCTAGGGCCTGCCACTGTGCAGCTGGAGCCTGGGACTGGAACCCAAAGTCCTGCTGCCAGAGCATGCCAGCCCACCACCCCAGGACTGAAGCTCAAAGCCTGAGCCCCACAGCCCTTGGGAAGGTGGGGAACTCACCGGCTGCCTGCTCCTCCAGCATTGTGCCCCAGGTGTCTCCAGGGGGGGCAGGGCCCAACCTCTGCTGACAGCCCCAGCAACCAACACCAAGGTGGTGCATCCTGGAGCAACAGGGAGAGGGAGGGGCTGTTACTACACAGACAACCCAGGGTGCTGTGGCCACAAGAAAAGCCCCTGGTGGCCGCATTTGAGAAATGCTGCCCCAGAGTTTGCAGTGCCTAGAGCAGGGAGGTGAGCCCAGCCAGCCCTGTGGGACAGGAGCCGCCACACGACCCTTTGAAACATTCTGGCAGCTCAATTTTAGGTCCCGACCCATGAGTTGAGAAACCCTGATGTAGTCCATCCCATCCCCATCCATCCCCTGTTTTGAGGCAGGACCAGTATAGCTATGCCGTCCCTCAATGGAGTGTGGGTCATCACAGTATAAGCTTCAGTTCTCCATCCCCTTTCTTCTTAATATCCACGTTGACTAAAAATGCACTTTTCAGCCTTAATTCTAAATTAGCAAATTCTTTCTTTTGTTTGGCAGTTGATAAAATATATTTCCTCAGTCTTAAGATCTAGAATGCTGTTGATGTTTTAAAATGCAGTAGGTACTTTTAAACAGATTTTTCTAGCGCGATGGTGTAAAAAAGTATCTACTTCATTCAGTGGAAAAAACCCATCTTCTAGGTGCTTCTCCAGTGTTCAAAGAGGGGAAGAAAATAGAATCAGTCAAGCATGAAGGCCCCGATGGAGCCAAGCATGAAGGCCCCGATGGAGTCAAGCATGAAGGCCCCGATGGAGCGGAGTCTGCTGCGGTTAAGCCTTTGGGACCTGTTGCAGAAACATTTAAAATTATTAAGGGAGCAATCAGTGAAGATGTTGTAAGGTCTACCCAAGGTGTTTATCTGTTTGAACTATCTGGTAAGGAAGACTTTCTTCTATTAAATCTTCACCTACAAATTTACAGTGAAATACATTCAGCATTTGCACAGAGAAATACTTCATTCTTAGTTTGTCCAAAGGTACAGTGAGTGAAGAGGTTTTTTGTTTGACACCTTGAAGAATGTGGACACGTGACCTCTTACCTTCCATTCGTGAAACACTAAACCATTTAAATTACCATAACACTATTATAATTAATGTCTTATTACACAATTGACATCAAGAAAAGTTACCTCATAGATGGTCAGGAGTTAGGCACAAACCTTGTATTTGATGTGCTGTAAACTATTTCCATTGTTCTTGTTTGTAGGTGACGAAGGAGGGACTTGGTACATTGATCTTAAGAACAAAGCTGGGAGTGCAGGAATTGGAGAACCACCTGTGAAAGTAGATGTGGTTATGAACATGTCTAGTGGTGACTTTGTGAAAATGTTTTCAGGTAAGTAACAAAAGGTTTTACCACAGTTGAGCCAGTTTTATTAGTGTTTAGAATTATTCAAATGACTAATTGATAATTAGATATTTCTCTCGTTATATGTTCTCATAACCAGATGAATCTTAGGCTTTTGGTAGCGCTAGTGAAAAAATATTATTCCCTTGATCTCTCTCCATCTCTTCACTTGTTCTCGTCTGAGAATATAAAGCGTGGTGCTATCTTCACGTCACTGAAATCTTAACAGTTAGTTCAGACACTCTGACTTTCCTTCCCAACTTTTAAGATGTTTGAGAAAGGATTCAATAGGTCCACTGATCTTTCTACAGGGTCCCCTCCAGGCCCAAATCACCTCTCTAAAATTTTACACGCTTACAGTGTGCGGGTATAATGCATTGACAGAGTGCACAAAATTAGTTTTGTTCCAGTGCACTGATATCAAACGCACACTCCAGCGCTTGTTTATAAGTGGTATTCAGTGATTAAAAAGTAGTTTCTATTAAATGTTTGTAGTCTAAAACTAAACTTTAGCTAACGCTGAATAATTGAGATCAATTTTAACTACAGATCTTGGTAGCAAAATAAGTTAGTGCATTTGTCTCTCTGACCCCTGGAGACTTGAGTTCAAAATACTCAGTTCAAGTAAGACTGCTATTCTTAATCTAGTCCTTGTTTGGTCATATAACAAAGCCACAATATTCTGCTACACTCTGGCATTGTTAGCAGGCCCAGAATAGGGCTAACAGGAAATACTTTTGGAAAGGAAAAATTTCTCCACAGGTTTTTAAAATTGTATTTGGATGCTGTATTATATGACACTTTTTCCAGTTTTATTACCCCTTGGAATAACTATTAACACTCATAGATATTCAAAAGAGACAGAGCCAAAATCATAAATTCATCACATACAAAACTGTATATCAGTCACTATGATAAAGTCCACAAACAATCACCATAGAATTGTTGGCTCAAAAAAGGGAGTATCTCTTAAGCCCTGATTCATCAGTCCATTCCTATTCAGCGAAACACTTCAGCACGTACTTAACTTCAGGTATGTGCTGAAGGGCTTTGCCAAACTGGAGCCTTAGGGAAAAAATATTTAATCAAAGAGAAGTGCAATTTGGCATTCTTAACACTAATCAAAAAGCATAAAAAAATTATATTGAAGAGAAGTTTTTATAGCATCTGAGGATTAGTAGAGTCTTTTAGTGATGTCAAGTATCAGAGGGGTAGCCGTGTTAGTCTGAGTCTGTAAAAAGCAACAGAGGGTCCTGTGGCACCTTTAAGACTAACAGAAGTAT